TGTGGTCCAAAGGTGGCTGGTTCAACTCCTGCTCCAAACACTAGATTTCATTAGTATATATACTGTTCAAACTTTTTCATTGACCATGTGGGTCCAATTGTATTGTTGGCAAAGTGTGTCGCCGAAGCCACTATTTTTCTGCGTTTGTATCTACAAGCACCTTCATAGCTCAGTTGGTAGAGCACATGACTTTAAGAAGTTCCTGAAACGCTGTGGTCCAAAGGTCGCTGGTTCAACTCCTGCTCCAAACACCAGATTTCATTGTTCTATGCACTGTTCAACCTTTTTCATTGACCATGTGGGTCCAATTGTATTGTTGGCAAAGTGTGTCGCCGAAGCCACTATGTTTTCTGTATTTGTATATATAAGCACCTGCATAGCTCAGTTGGTAGAGCACATGACTTTAAGAAGTTCAAGAAACGCTGTGGTCCAAAGGTGGCTGGTTCAACTCCAGCTCCAAACACTAGATTTCATTGGTCTATACACTGTTCAACCTTTTTCATTGACCATGTGCGTCCTATTGTATTGTTGGCAAAGTGTGTCGCCGAAGCCACTATGTTTTCTGTATTTGTATATATAAGCACCTGCATAGCTCAGTTGGTAGAGCAGAGGACTGTAAGAAGTTCAAGAAACGCTGTGGTCCAAAGGTCGCTGGTTCAACTCCAGCTCCAAACACTAGATTTCATTGGTCTATACACTGTTCAACCTTTTTCATTGACCATGTGCGTCCTATTGTATTGTTGGCAAAGTGTGTCGCCGAAGCCACTATGTTTTCTGCGTTTGTATATATAAGCACCTTCATAGCTCAGTTGGTAGAGCACATGACTTTAAGAAGTTCCTGAAACGCTGTGGTCCAAAGGTCGCTGGTTCAACTCCTGCTCCAAACACTAGATTTCATTGGTGTATGCACTGTTCAACCTTATTCATTGACCATGTGGGTCCAATTGTATTGTTGGCAAAGTGTGTCGCCGAAGCCACTATGTTTTCTGCGTTTGAATCTATAAGCACCTTCATAGCTCAGTTGGTATAGCACATGACTTTAAGAAGTTCCTGAAACGCTGTGGTCCAAAGGTGGTTGGTTCAACTCCTGCTCCAAACACCAGATTTCATTGGTCTATGCACTGTTCAACCTTTTTCATTGACCATGTGGGTCCAATTGTATTGTTGGCAAAGTGTGTCGCAGAAGCCACTATGTTTTCTGCGTTTGTATCTATAAGCACCTTCATAGCTCAGTTGGTAGAGCACATGACTTTAAGAAGTTCCTGAAACGCTGTGGTCCAAAGGTCGCTGGTTCAACTCCTGCTCCAAACACTAGATTTCATTGTTCTATGCACTGTTCAACCTTTTTCATTGACCATGTGGGTCCAATTGTATTGTTGGCAAAGTGTGTCGCCGAAGCCACTATGTTTTCTGCGTTTGAATCTATAAGCACCTTCATAGCTCAGTTGGTAGAGCAGAGTACTGTAAGAAGTTCCTGAAACGCTGTGGTCCAAAGGTCGCTGGTTCAACTCCTGCTCCAAACACTAGATTTCATTGGTCTATGCACTGTTCAACCTTTTTCATTGACCATGTGCGTCCAATTGTATTGTTGGCAAAGTGTGTCGCCAAAGCCACTATGTTTTCTGCGTTTGTATCTATAAGCACCTTCATAGCTCAGTTGGTAGAGCACATGACTTTAAGAAGTTCCTGAAACGCTGTGGTCCAAAGGTCGCTGGTTCAACTCCTGCTCCAAACACCAGATTTCATTGGTCTATGCACTGTTCAAACTTTTTCATTGACCATGTGGGTCCAATTATATTGTTGGCAAAGTGTGTCGCCGAAGCCACTATGTTTTCTGCGTTTGTATCTATAAGCACCTTCATAGCTCAGTTGGTAGAGCACATGACTTTAAGAAGTTCCTGAAACGCTGTGGTCCAAAGGTGGCTGGTTCAACTCCTGCTCCAAACACTAGATTTCATTAGTATATATACTGTTCAAACTTTTTCATTGACCATGTGGGTCCAATTGTATTGTTGGCAAAGTGTGTCGCCGAAGCCACTATTTTTCTGCGTTTGTATCTACAAGCACCTTCATAGCTCAGTTGGTAGAGCACATGACTTTAAGAAGTTCCTGAAACGCTGTGGTCCAAAGGTCGCTGGTTCAACTCCTGCTCCAAACACTAGATTTCATTGTTCTATGCACTGTTCAACCTTTTTCATTGACCATGTGGGTCCAATTGTATTGTTGGCAAAGTGTGTCGCCGAAGCCACTATGTTTTCTGTATTTGTATATATAAGCACCTGCATAGCTCAGTTGGTAGAGCACATGACTTTAAGAAGTTCAAGAAACGCTGTGGTCCAAAGGTCGCTGGTTCAACTCCAGCTCCAAACACTAGATTTCATTGGTCTATACACTGTTCAACCTTTTTCATTGACCATGTGCGTCCTATTGTATTGTTGGCAAAGTGTGTCGCCGAAGCCACTATGTTTTCTGCGGTTTTGTCTATGAGCAGCTTCATAGCTCAGTTGGTAGAGCAGAGGACTGTAAGAAGTTCAAGAAACGCTGTGGTCCAAAGGTCGCTGGTTCAACTCCAGCTCCAAACACTAGATTTCATTGGTCTATACACTGTTCAACCTTTTTCATTGACCATGTGCGTCCTATTGTATTGTTGGCAAAGTGTGTCGCCGAAGCCACTATGTTTTCTGCGTTTGTATATATAAGCACCTTCATAGCTCAGTTGGTAGAGCACATGACTTTAAGAAGTTCCTGAAACGCTGTGGTCCAAAGGTCGCTGGTTCAACTCCTGCTCCAAACACTAGATTTCATTGGTGTATGCACTGTTCAACCTTATTCATTGACCATGTGGGTCCAATTGTATTGTTGGCAAAGTGTGTCGCCGAAGCCACTATGTTTTCTGCGTTTGAATCTATAAGCACCTTCATAGCTCAGTTGGTATAGCACATGACTTTAAGAAGTTCCTGAAACGCTGTGGTCCAAAGGTGGCTGGTTCAACTCCAGCTCCAAACACCAGATTTCATTGGTCTATGCACTGTTCAACCTTTTTCATTGACCATGTGGGTCCAATTGTATTGTTGGCAAAGTGTGTCGCAGAAGCCACTATGTTTTCTGCGTTTGTATCTATAAGCACCTTCATAGCTCAGTTGGTAGAGCACATGACTTTAAGAAGTTCCTGAAACGCTGTGGTCCAAAGGTCGCTGGTTCAACTCCTGCTCCAAACACTAGATTTCATTGTTCTATGCACTGTTCAACCTTTTTCATTGACCATGTGGGTCCAATTGTATTGTTGGCAAAGTGTGTCGCCGAAGCCACTATGTTTTCTGCGTTTGTATCTATAAGCACCTTCATAGCTCAGTTGGTAGAGCAGAGTACTGTAAGAAGTTCCTGAAACGCTGTGGTCCAAAGGTCGCTGGTTCAACTCCTGCTCCAAACACTAGATTTCATTGGTCTATGCACTGTTCAACCTTTTTCATTGACCATGTGCGTCCAATTGTATTGTTGGCAAAGTGTGTCGCCAAAGCCACTATGTTTTCTGCGTTTGCATCTATAAGCACCTTCATAGCTCAGTTGGTAGAGCACATGACTTTAAGAAGTTCCTGAAACGCTGTGGTCCAAAGGTCGCTGGTTCAACTCCTGCTCCAAACACCAGATTTCATTGGTCTATGCACTGTTCAAACTTTTTCATTGACCATGTGGGTCCAATTATATTGTTGGCAAAGTGTGTCGCCGAAGCCACTATGTTTTCTGCGTTTGTATCTATAAGCACCTTCATAGCTCAGTTGGTAGAGCACATGACTTTAAGAAGTTCCTGAAACGCTGTGGTCCAAAGGTGGCTGGTTCAACTCCTGCTCCAAACACTAGATTTCATTGGTGTATGCACTGTTCAACCATTTTCATCGACCATGCGGGTCCAATTGTATTGTTGGCAAAGTGTGTCGCCGAAGCCACTATGTTTTCTGCAGTTGTGTCTATGAGCAGCTTCATAGCTCAGTTGGTAGAGCAGAGGACTGTAAGAAGTTTCTGAAACGCTGTGGTCCAAAGGTCGCTGGTTCAACTCCAGCTCAAAGCACCAGATTTCATTGGTATATGCACTGTTCAACCTTTTTCATTGACCATGTGGGTCCAATTGTATTGTTGGCAAAGTGTGTCGCCGAAGCCACTATGTTTTCTGCGTTTGAATCTATAAGCACCTTCATAGCTCAGTTGGTAGAGCAGAGTACTGTAAGAAGTTCCTGAAACGCTGTGGTCCAAAGGTCGCTGGTTCAACTCCTGCTCCAAACACTAGATTTCATTGGTCTATACACTGTTCAACCTTTTTCATTGACCATGTGCGTCCAATTGTATTGTTGGCAAAGTGTGTCGCCAAAGCCACTATGTTTTCTGCGTTTGTATCTATAAGCACCTTCATAGCTCAGTTGGTAGAGCACATGACTTTAAGAAGTTCCTGAAACGCTGTGGTCCAAAGGTCGCTGGTTCAACTCCTGCTCCAAACACCAGATTTCATTGGTCTATGCACTTTTCAAACTTTTTCATTGACCATGTGGGTCCAATTATATTGTTGGCAAAGTGTGTCGCCGAAGCCACTATGTTTTCTGCGTTTGTATCTATAAGCACCTTCATAGCTCACTTGGTAGAGCACATGACTTTAAGAAGTTCCTGAAACGCTGTGGTCCAAAGGTCGCTGGTTCAACTCCTGCTCCAAACACCAGATTTCATTGGTATATGCACTGTTCAACCTTTTTCATTGACCATGTGGGTCCAATTGTATTGTTGGCAAAGTGTGTCGCCGAAGCCACTAATTTTCTGCGTTTGTATCTATAAGCACCTTCATAGCTCAGTTGGTAGAGCACATGACTTTAAGAAGTTCAAGAAACGCTGTGGTCCAAAGGTCGCTGGTTCAACTCCTGCTCCAAACACTAAATTTCATTTGTCTATACACTGTTGAACCTTTTTCATTGACCATGTGCCTCCTATTGTATTGTTGGCAAAGTGTGTCGCCGAAGCCACTATGTTTTCTGCGTTTGTATATATAAGCACCTTCATAGCTCAGTTGGTAGAGCACATGACTTTAAGAAGTTCCTGAAACGCTGTGGTCCAAAGGTCGCTGGTTCAACTCCTGCTCCAAACACTAGATTTCATTGGTGTATGCACTGTTCAACCTTTTTCATTGACCATGTGGGTCCAATTGTATTGTTGGCAAAGTGTGTCGCCAAAGCCACTATGTTTTCTGCGTTTGTATCTATAAGCACCTTCATAGCTCAGTTGGTAGAGCACATGACTTTAAGAAGTTCCTGAAACGCTGTGGTCCAAAGGTGCCTTGTTCAACTCCAGCTCCAAACACCATATTTCATTGGTCTATGCACTGTTCAACCTTTTTCATTGACCATGTGGGTCCAATTGTATTGTTGGCAAAGTGTGTCGCCGAAGCCACTATGTTTTCTGCGTTTGAATCTATAAGCACCTTCATAGCTCAGTTGGTAGAGCACATGACTTTAAGAAGTTCCTGAAACGCTGTGGTCCAAAGATCGCTGGTTCAACTCCTGCTCCAAACACCAGATTTCATTGGTATATGCACTGTTCAACCTTTTTCATTGACCATGTGGGTCCAATTGTATTGTTGGCAAAGTGTGTCGCCGAAGCCACTATGTTTTCTGCGTTTGTATCTATAAGCACCTTCATAGCTCAGTTGGTAGAGCAGAGTACTGTAAGAAGTTCCTGAAACGCTGTGGTCCAAAGGTCGCTGGTTCAACTCCTGCTCCAAACACTAGATTTCATTGGTCTATGCACTGTTCAACCTTTTTCGTTGACCATGTGCGTCCTATTGTATTGTTGGCAAAGTGTGTCACCGAAGCCACTATGTTTTCTGCATTTGTATATATAAGCAGCTTCATAGCTCAGTTGGTAGACCAGAGAACTGTAAGAAGTTTCTGAAACGCTGTCGTCCAAAGGTCGCTGGTTCAACTCCAGCTCAAAGCACCAGATTTCATTGGTATATGCACTGTTCAACCTTTTTCATTGACCATGTGGGTCCAATTGTATTGTTGGCAAAGTGTGTCGCCAAAGCCACTATGTTTTCTGCGTTTGTATCTATAAGCACCTTCATAGCTCAGTTGGTAGAGCACATGACTTTAAGAAGTTCCTGAAACGCTGTGGTCCAAAGGTCGCTGGTTCAACTCCTGCTCCAAACACCAGATTTCATTGGTCTATGCACTGTTCAACCTTTTTCATTGACCATGTGGGTCCAATTATATTGTTGGCAAAGTGTGTCGCCGAAGCCACTATGTTTTCTGCGTTTGTATCTATAAGCATCTTCATAGCTCAGTTGGTAGAGCACATGACTTTAAGAAGTTCCTGAAACGCTGTGGTCCAAAGGTGGCTGGTTCAACTCCAGCTCCAAACACCAGATTTCATTGGTCTATGCACTGTTCAACCTTTTTCATTGACCATGTGGGTCCAATTGTATTGTTGGCAAAGTGTGTCGCCGAAGCCACTATGTTTTCTGCGTTTGTATCTATAAGCACCTTCATAGCTCAGTTGGTAGAGCACATGACTTTAAGAAGTTCCTGAAACCCTGTGGTTCAAAGGTCGCTGGTTCAACTCCTGCTCCAAACACCAGATTTCATTGCTATATGCACTGTTCAACCTTTTTCATTGACCATGTGGGTCCAATTGTATTGTTGGCAAAGTGTGTCGCCAAAGCCACTAATTTTCTGCGTTTGTATCTATAAGCACCTTCATAGCTCAGTTGGTAGAGCACATGACTTTAAGAAGTTCCTGAAACGCTGTGGTCCAAAGGTCGCTTGTTCAACTCCTGCTCCAAACACTAGATTTCATTGTTCTATGCACTGTTCAACCTTTTTCATTGACCATGTGCGTCCTATTGTATTGTTGGCAAAGTGTGTCGCCGAAGCCACTATGTTTTCTGCATTTGTATATATAAGCACCTGCATAGCTCAGTTGGTAGAGCACATGACTTAAAGAAGTTCAAGAAACGCTTTGGTCCAAAGGTCGCTGGTTCAACTTCTGCTCCAAACACTAGATTTCATTGGTCTATACACTGTTCAACCTTTTTCATTGACCATGTGCGTCCTATTGTATTGTTGGCAAAGTGTGTCGCCGAAGCCACTATGTTTTCTGCGGTTGTGTCTATGAGCAGCTTCATAGCTCAGTTGGTAGAGCACATGACTGTAAGAAGTTCCTGAAACGCTGTGGTCCAAAGGACGCTGGTTCAACTCCTGCTCCAAACACTAGATTTCATTGGTCTATACACTGTTCAACCTTTTTCATTGACCATGTGCGTCCTATTGTATTGTTGGCAAAGTGTGTCGCCGAAGCCACTATGTTTTCTGCGTTTGTATATATAAGCACCTTCATAGCTCAGTTGGTAGAGCACATGACTTTAAGAAGTTCCTGAAACGCTGTGGTCCAAAGGTCGCTGGTTCAACTCCTGCTCCAAACACTAGATTTCATTGGTGTATGCACTGTTCAACCTTTTTCATCGACCATGTGGGTCCAATTGTATTGTTGGCAAAGTGTGTCGCCGAAGCCACTATGTTTTCTGCGTTTGTATCTATAAGCACCTTCATTGCTCAGTTGGTAGAGCACATGACTTTAAGAAATTCCTGAAACGCTGTGGTCCAAAGGTCGCTGGTTCAACTCCTGCTCCAAACACCAGATTTCATTGGTCTATGCACTGTTCAACCTTTTTCATTGACCATGTGGGTCCAATTATATTGTTGGCAAAGTGTGTCGCCGAAGCCAATATGTTTTCTGCGTTTGTATCTATAAGCACCTTCATAGCTCAGTTGGTAAAGCACATGACTTTAAGAAGTTCCTGAAACGCTGTGGTCCAAAGGTCGCTGGTTCAACTCCTGCTCCAAACACTAGATTTCATTGGTGTATGCACTGTTCAACCTTTTTTATCGACCATGCGGGTCCAATTGTATTGTTGGCAAAGTGTGTCGCCGAAGCCACTATGTTTTCTGCAGTTGTGGCTATGAGCAGCTTCATAGCTCAGTTGGTAGAGCAGAGGACTTTAAGAAGTTCCTGAAACGCTGTGGTCCAAAGGTCGCTGGTTCAACTCCTGCTCCAAACACTAGATTTCATTGTTCTATGCACTGTTCAACCTTTTTCATTGACCATGTGCATCCTATTGTATTGTTGGCAAAGTGTGTCGCCGAAGCCACTATGTTTTCTGTATTTGTTTATATAAGCACCTGCATAGCTCAGTTGGTAGAGCACATGACTTTAAGAAGTTCAAGAAACGCTGTGGTCCAAAGGTCGCTGGTTCAACTCCTGCTCCAAACACTAGATTTCATTGGTCTATACACTGTTCAACCTTTTTCATTGACCATGTGCGTCCTATTGTATTGTTGGCAAAGTGTGTCGCCGAAGCCACTATGTTTTCTGTGGTTGTGTCTATGAGCACCTTCATAGCTCAGTTGGTAGAGCAGAGGACTTTAAGAAGTTTCTGAAACGCTGTGGTCCAAAGGTCGCTGGTTCAACTCCAGCTCAAAGCACCAGATTTCATTGGTATATGCACTGTTCAACCTTTTTCATTGACCATGTGGGTCCAATTGTATTGTTGGCAAAGTGTGTCACCAAAGCCACTATGTTTTCTGCGTTTGTATCTATAAGCACCTTCATAGCTCAGTTGGTAGAGCACATGACTTTAAGAAGTTCCTGAAACGCTGTGGTCCAAAGGTCGCTGGTTCAACTCCTGCTCCAAACACCAGATTTCATTGGTCTATGCACTGTTCAACCTTTTTCATTGACCATGTGGGTCCAATTATATTGTTGGCAAAGTGTGTCGCCGAAGCCACTATGTTTTCTGCATTTGTATCTATAAGCACCTTCATAGCTCAGTTGGTAGAGCACATGACTTTAAGAAGTTCCTGAAACGCTGTGGTCCAAAGGTGGCTGGTTCAACTCCAGCTCCAAACACCAGATTTCATTGGTCTATGCACTGTTCAACCTTTTTCATTGACCATGTGGGTCCAATTGTATTGTTGGCAAAGTGTGTCGCCGAAGCCACTATGTTTTCTGCGTTTGTATCTATAAGCACCTTCATAGCTCAGTTGGTAGAGCACATGACTTTAAGAAGTTCCTGAAACGCTGTGTTCCAAAGGTCGCTGGTTCAACTCCTGCTCCAAACACCAGATTTCATTGGTATATGCACTGTTCAACCTTTTTCATTGACCATGTGGGTCCAATTGTATTGTTGGCAAAGTGTGTCGCCAAAGCCACTAATTTTCTGCGTTTGTATCTATAAGCACCTTCATAGCTCAGTTGGTAGAGCACATGACTTTAAGAAGTTCAAGAAACGCTGTGGTCCAAAGGTCGCTGGTTCAACTCCTGCTCCAAACACTAGATTTCATTGGTCTATACACTGTTCAACCTTTTTCATTGACCATGTGCCTCCTATTGTATTGTTGGCAAAGTGTGTCGCCGAAGCCACTATGTTTTCTGCGTTTGTATATATAAGCACCTTCATAGCTCAGTTGGTAGAGCAGAGTACTGTAAGAAGTTCCTGAAACGCTGTGGTCCAAAGGTCGCTGGTTCAACTCCTGCTCCAAACACTAGATTTCATTGGTGTATGCACTGTTCAACCTTTTTCATTGACCATGTGGGTCCAATTGTATTGTTGGCAAAGTGTGTCGCCAAAGCCACTATGTTTTCTGCGTTTGTATCTATAAGCACCTTCATAGCTCAGTTGGTAGAGCACATGACTTTAAGAAGTTCCTGAAACGCTGTGGTCCAAAGGTGCCTGGTTCAACTCCAGCTCCAAACACCAGATTTCATTGGTCTATGCACTGTTCAACCTTTTTCATTGACCATGTGGGTCCAATTGTATTGTTGGCAAAGTGTGTCGCCGAAGCCACTATGTTTTCTGCGTTTGTATCTATAAGCACCTTCATAGCTCAGTTGGTAGAGCACATGACTTTAAGAAGTTCCTGAAACCCTGTGGTCCAAAGGTCGCTGGTTCAACTCCTGCTCCAAACACCAGATTTCATTGGTATATGCACTGTTCAACCTTTTTCATTGACCATGTGGGTCCAATTGTATTGTTGGCAAAGTGTGTCGCCGAAGCCACTATGTTTTCTGCGTTTGTATCTATAAGCACCTTCATAGCTCAGTTGGTAGAGCAGAGGACTTTAAGAAGTTTCTGAAACGCTGTGGTCCAAAGGTCGCTGGTTCAACTCCTGCTCCAAACACCAGATTTCATTGGTATATGCACTGTTCAACCTTTTTCATTGACCATGTGGGTCCAATTGTATTGTTGGCAAAGTGTGTCGCCGAAGCCACTATGTTTTCTGCGTTTGTATCTATAAGCACCTTCATAGCTCAGTTGGTAGAGCACATGACTTTAAGAAGTTCCTGAAACGCTGTGGTCCAAAGGTCGCTGGTTCAACTCCTGCTCCAAACACTAGATTTCATTGGTCTATGCACTGTTCAACCTTTTTCGTTGACCATGTGCGTCCTATTGTATTGTTGGCAAAGTGTGTCACCGAAGCCACTATGTTTTCTGCATTTGTATATATAAGCAGCTTCATAGCTCAGTTGGTAGAGCAGAGGACTGTAAGAAATTCCTGAAACGCTGTAGTCCAAAGGTCGCTGGTTCAACTCCAGCTCCAAGCACCAGATTTCATTGGTATATGCACTGTTCAACCTTTTTCATTGACCATGTGGGTCCAATTGTATTGTTGGCAAAGTGTGTCGCCGAAGCCACTATGTTTTCTGCGTTTGTATCTATAAGCACCTTCATAGCTCAGTTGGTAGAGCAGAGTACTGTAAGAAGTTCCTGAAACGCTGTGGTCCAAAGGTGGCTGGTTCAACTCCTGCTCCAAACACTAGATTTCATTGGTCTATGCACTGTTCAACCTTTTTCATTGACCATGTGCGTCCTATTGTATTGTTGGCAAAGTGTGTCGCCGAAGCCACTATGTTTTCTGCGTTTGTATCTATAAGCACCTTCATAGCTCAGTTGGTAGAGCACATGACTTTAAGAAGTTCCTGAAACGCTGTGGTCCAAAGGTGGCTGGTTCAACTCCTGCTCCAAACACTAGATTTCATTGGTCTATGCACTGTTCAACCTTTTTCATTGACCATGTGCGTCCTATTGTATTGTTGGCAAAGTGTGTCGCCGAAGCCACTATGTTTTCTGTGGTTGTGTTTATGAGCACCTTCATAGCTCAGTTGGTAGAGCAGAGGACTTTAAGAAGTTCCTGAAACGCTGTGGTCCAAAGGTCGCTGGTTCAACTCCAGCTCAAAGCACCAGATTTCATTGGTATATGCACTGTTCAACCTTTTTCATTGACCATGTGGGTCCAATTGTATTGTTGGCAAAGTGTGTCGCCAAAGCCACTATGTTTTCTGCGTTTGTATCTATAAGCACCTTCATAGCTCAGTTGGTAGAGCACATGACTTTAAGAAGTTCCTGAAACGCTGTGGTCCAAAGGTCGCTGGTTCAACTCCTGCTCCAAACACCAGATTTCATTGGTCTATGCACTGTTCAACCTTTTTCATTGACCATGTGGGTCCAATTATATTGTTGGCAAAGTGTGTCGCCGAAGCCACTATGTTTTCTGCGTTTGTATCTATAAGCACCTTCATAGCTCAGTTGGTAGAGCACATGACTTTAAGAAGTTCCTGAAACGCTGTGGTCCAAAGGTCGCTGGTTCAACTCCTGCTCCAAACACTAGATTTCATTGGTGTATGCACTGTTCAACCTTTTTCATCGACCATGCGGGTCCAATTGTATTGTTGGCAAAGTGTGTCGCCGAAGCCACTATGTTTTCTGCAGTTGTGTCTATGAGCAGCTTCATAGCTCAGTTGGTAGAGCAGAGGACTGTAAGAAGTTTCTGAAACGCTGTCGTCCAAAGGTCGCTGGTTCAACTCCAGCTCAAAGCACCAGATTTCATTGGTATATGCACTGTTCAACCTTTTTCATTGACCATGTGGGTCCAATTGTATTGTTGGCAAAGTGTGTCGCCAAAGCCACTATGTTTTCTGCGTTTGTATCTATAAGCACCTTCATAGCTCAGTTGGTAGAGCACATGACTTTAAGAAGTTCCTGAAACGCTGTGGTCCAAAGGTCGCTGGTTCAACTCCTGCTCCAAACACCATATTTCATTGGTCTATGCACTGTTCAACCTTTTTCGTTGACCATGTGCGTCCTATTGTATTGTTGGCAAAGTGTGTCACCGAAGCCACTATGTTTTCTGCATTTGTATATATAAGCAGCTTCATAGCTCAGTTGGTAGAGCAGAGGACTGTAAGAAGTTCCTGAAACGCTGTAGTCCAAAGGTCGCTGGTTCAACTCCAGCTCCAAGCACCAGATTTCATTGGTATATGCACTGTTCAACCTTTTTCATTGACCATGTGGGTCCAATTGTATTGTTGGCAAAGTGTGTCGCCGAAGCCACTATGTTTTCTGCGTTTGTATCTAAAAGCACCTTCATAGCTCAGTTGGTAGAGCAGAGTACTGTAAGAAGTTCCTGAAACGCTGTGGTCCAAAGGTGGCTGGTTCAACTCCTGCTCCAAACACTAGATTTCATTGGTCTATGCACTGTTCAACCTTTTTCATTGACCATGTGCGTCCTATTGTATTGTTGGCAAAGTGTGTCGCCGAAGCCACTATGTTTTCTGCGTTTGTATCTATAAGAACCTTCATAGCTCAGTTGGTAGAGCACATGACTTTAAGAAGTTCCTGAAACGCTGTGGTCCAAAGGTGGCTGGTTCAACTCCTGCTCCAAACACTAGATTTCATTGGTCTATGCACTGTTCAACCTTTTTCATTGACCATGTGCGTCCTATTGTATTGTTGGCAAAGTGTGTCGCCGAAGCCACTATGTTTTCTGTGGTTGTGTCTATGAGCACCTTCATAGCTCAGTTGGTAGAGCAGAGGACTTTAAGAAGTTTCTGAAACGCTGTGGTCCAAAGGTCGCTGGTTCAACTCCAGCTCAAAGCACCAGATTTCATTGGTATATGCACTGTTCAACCTTTTTCATTGACCATGTGGGTCCAATTGTATTGTTGGCAAAGTGTGTCGCCAAAGCCACTATGTTTTCTGCGTTTGTATCTATAAGCACCTTCATAGCTCAGTTGGTAGAGCACATGACTTTAAGAAATTCCTGAAACGCTGTGGTCCAAAGGTCGCTGGTTCAACTCCTGCTCCAAACACCAGATTTCATTGGTCTATGCACTGTTCAACCTTTTTCATTGACCATGTGGGTCCAATTATATTGTTGGCAAAGTGTGTCGCCGAAGCCACTATGTTTTCTGCGTTTGTATCTATAAGCACCTTCATAGCTCAGTTGGTAGAGCACATGACTTTAAGAAGTTCCTGAAACGCTGTGGTCCAAAGGTCGCTGGTTCAACTCCTGCTCCAAACACTAGATTTCATTGGTGTATGCACTGTTCAACCTTTTTCATCGACCATGTGGGTCCAATTGTATTGTTGGCAAAGTGTGTCGCCGAAGCCACTATGTTTTCTGCGTTTGTATCTATAAGCACCTTCATAGCTCAGTTGGTAGAGCAGAGGACTGTAAGAAGTTCTGAAACGCTGTGGTCCAAAGGTCGCTGGTTCAACTCCAGCTCCAAACACCAGATTTCATTGGTATATGCACTGTTCAACCTTTTTCATTGACCATGTGGGTCCAATTGTATTGTTGGCAAAGTGTGTCGCCAAAGCCACTATGTTTTCTGCGTTTGTATCTATAAGCACCTTCATAGCTCAGTTGGTAGAGCACATGACTTTAAGAAGTTCCTGAAACGCTGTGGTCCAAAGGTGGCTGGTTCAACTCCTGCTCCAAACACCATATTTCATTGGTCTATGCACTGTTCAACCTTTTTCATTGACCATGTGGGTCCAATTGTATTGTTGGCAAAGTGTGTCGCCGAAGCCACTATGTTTTCTGCGTTTGTATCTATAAGCACCTTCATAGCTCAGTTGGTAGAGCACATGACTTTAAGAAGTTCCTGAAACGCTGTGGTCCAAAGGTGGCTGGTTCAACTCCAGCTCCAAACACCAGATTTCATTGGTCTATGCACTGTTCAACCTTTTTCATTGACCATGTGGGTCCAATTGTATTGTTGGCAAAGTGTGTCGCCGAAGCCACTATGTTTTCTGCGTTTGTATCTATAAGCACCTTCATAGCTCAGTTGGTAGAGCACATGACTTTAAGAAGTTCCTGAAACGCTGTGGTCCAAAGGTCGCTGGTTCAACTCCTGCTCCAAACACCAGATTTCATTGGTATATGCACTGTTCAACCTTTTTCATTGACCATGTGGGTCCAATTGTATTGTTGGCAAAGTGTGTCGCCGAAGCCACTAATTTTCTGCGTTTGTATCTATAAGCACCTTCATAGCTCACTTGGTAGAGCACATGACTTTAAGAAGTTCCTGAAACGCTGTGGTCCAAAGGTCGCTGGTTCAACTCCTGCTCCAAACACTAGATTTCATTGTTCTATGCACTGTTCAACCTTTTTCATTGACCATGTGCGTCCTATTGTATTGTTGGCAAAGTGTGTCGCCGAAGCCACTATGTTTTCTGCATTTGTATATATAAGCACCTGCATAGCTCATTTGTTAGAGCACATGACTTTAAGAAGTTCAAGAAACGCTTTGGTCCAAAGGTCGCTGGTTCAACTTCTGCTCCAAACACTAGATTTCATTGGTCTATACACTGTTCAACCTTTTTCATTGACCATGTGCGTCCTATTGTATTGTTGGCAAAGTGTGTCGCCGAAGCCACTATGTTTTCTGCAGTTGTGTCTATAAGCAGCTTCATAGCTCAGGTCGTAGAGCAGAGGACTGTAAGAAGTTCCTGAAACGCTGTGGTCCAAAGGTCGCTGGTTCAACTCCTGCTCCAAACACTAGATTTCATTGGTGTATGCACTGTTCAACCTTTTTCATCGACCATGTGGGTCCAATTGTATTGTTGGCAAAGTGTGTCGCCGAAGCCACTATGTTTTCTGCGTTTGTATCTATAAGCACCTTCATAGCTCAGTTGGTAGAGCACATGACTTTAAGAAGTTCCTGAAACACAGTGGTCCAAAGGTCGCTGGTTCAACTCCTGCTCCAAACACAAGATTTCATTGGTCTATGGACTGTTCAACCTTTTTCATTGACCATGTGGGTCCAATTATATTGTTGGCAAAGTGTGTCGCCGAAGCCACTATGTTTTCTGCGTTTGTATCTATAAGCACCTTCATAGCTCAGTTGGTAGAGCACATGACTTTAAGAAGTTCCTGAAACGCTGTGGTCCAAAGGTGGCTGGTTCAACTCCTACTCCAAACACTAGATTTCATTGGTGTATGCACTGTTCAACCTTTTTCATCGACCATGCGGGTCCAATTGTATTGTTGGCAAAGTGTGTCGCCGAAGCCACTATGTTTTCTGCAGTTGTGTCTATGAGCACTTCATAGCTCAGTTGGTAGAGCAGAGGACTGTAAGAAGTTTCTGAAACGCTGTGGTCCAAAGGTCGCTGGTTCAACTCCAGCTCAAAGCACCAGATTTCATTGGTATATGCACTGTTCAACCTTTTTCATTGACCATGTGGGTCCAATTGTATTGTTGGCAAAGTGTGTCGCCAAAGCCACTATGTTTTCTGCGTTTGTATCTATAAGCACCTTCATAGCTCAGTTGGTAGAGCAGAGGACTTTAAGAAGTTCCTGAAACGCTGTGGTCCAAAGGTGGCTGGTTCAACTCCAGCTCCAAACTCCATATTTCATTGGTCTATGCACTGTTCAACCTTTTTCATTGACCAAGTGGGTCCAATTATATTGTTGGCAAAGTGTGTCGCCGAAGCCACTATGTTTTCTGCTTTTGCATCTATAAGCACCTTCATAGCTCAGTTGGTAGAGCACATGACTTTAAGAAGTTCAAGAAACGCTGTGGTCCAAAGGTGGCTGGTTCAACTCCAGCTCCAAACACCAGATTTCATTGGTCTATGCACTGTTCAACCTTTTTCATTGACCATGTGGGTCCAATTGTATTGTTGGCAAAGTGTGTCGCCGAAGCCACTATGTTTTCTGCGTTTGTATCTATAAGCACCTTCATAGCTCAGTTGGTAGAGCACATGACTTTAAGAAGTTCCTGAAACGCTGTGGTCCAAAGGTGGCTGGTTCAACTCCAGCTCCAAGCACCAGATTTCATTGGTATATGCACTGTTCAACCTTTTTCATTGACCATGTGGGTCCAATTGTATTGTTGGCAAAGTGTGTCGCCGAAGCCACTATGTTTTCTGCGTTTGTATCTATAAGCACCTTCATAGCTCAGTTGGTAGAGCACATGACTTTAAGAAGTTCCTGAAACACTGTGGTCCAAAGGTCGCTTGTTCAACTCCTGCTCCAAACACCCGATTTCATTGGTATATGCACTGTTCAACCTTTTTCATTGACCATGTGGGTCCAATTGTATTGTTGGCAAAGTGTGTCGCCGAAGCCACTATTTTTCTGCGTTTGTATCTATAAGCACCTTCATAGCTCAGTTGGTAGAGCACATGACTTTAAGAAGTTCCTGAAACGCTGTGGTCCAAAGGTGCCTGGTTCAACTCCAGCTCCAAACACCAGATTTCATTGGTCTATGCACTGTTCAACCTTTTTCATTGACCATGTGGGTCCAATTGTATATAGTTGGCAAAGTGTGTCGCCGAAGCCACTATGTTTTCTGCGTTTGTATCTATAAGCACCTTCATAGCTCAGTTGGTAGAGCAGAGCACTGTAAGAAGTTCCTGAAACGCTGTGCTCCAAAGGTGGCTTGTTCAACTCCTGCGCCAAACACCAAATTTCATTGGTCTAGACACTGTTCAACCTTTTTCATTGACCATGTGGGTCCAATTGTTATTTTCGCAAAGTGTGTCGCCGAAGCCACTATGTTTTCTGCGTTTGTATATATAAGCACCTGCATAGCTCAGTTGCTAGAGCACATGACTTTAAGAAGTTCAAGAAACGCTGTGGTCCAAAGGTCGCTGGTTCAACTCCTGCTCCAAACACTAGATTTCATTGGTGTATGCACTGTTCAACCTTTTTCATCGACCATGTGGGTCCAATTGTATTGTTGGCAAAGTGTGTCGCCGAAGCCACTATGTTTTCTGCGGTTGTGTCTATGAGCAGCTTCATAGCTCATTTGGTAGAGCAGAGGACTGTAAGAAGTTCCTGAAACCCTGTGGTCCAAAGGTCGCTTGTTCAACTCCTGCTCCAAACACTAGATTTCATTGGTCTATGCACTGTTCAACCTTTTTCGTTGACCATGTGCGTCCTATTGTATTGTTGGCAAAGTGTGTCACCGAAGCCACTATGTTTTCTGCATTTGTATATATAAGCAGCTTCATAGCTCAGTTGGTAGAGCAGAGGACTGTAAGAAATTCCTGAAACGCTGTAGTCCAAAGGTCGCTGGTTCAACTCCAGCTCCAAGCACCAGATTTCATTGGTATATGCACTGTTCAACCTTTTTCATTGACCATGTGGGTCCAATTGTATTGTTGGCAAAGTGTGTCGCCGAAGCCACTTTGTTTTCTGCGTTTGTATTTAAAAGCACCTTCATAGCTCAGTTGGTAGAGCAGAGTACTGTAAGAAGTTCCTGAAACGCTGTGGTCCAAAGGTGGCTGGTTCAACTCCTGCTCCAAACACTAGATTTCATTGGTCTATGCACTGTTCAACCTTTTTCATTGACCATGTGCGTCCTATTGTATTGTTGGCAAAGTGTGTCGCCGAAGCCACTATGTTTTCTGCGTTTGTATCTATAAGCACCTTCATAGCTCAGTTGGTAGAGCACATGACTTTAAGAAGTTCCTGAAACGCTGTGGTCCAAAGGTGGCTGGTTCAACTCCTGCTCCAAACACTAGATTTCATTGGTCTATGCACTGTTCAACCTTTTTCATTGACCATGTGCGTCCTATTGTATTGTTGGCAAAGTGTGTCGCCGAAGCCACTATGTTTTCTGTGGTTGTGTCTATGAGCACCTTCATAGCTCAGTTGGTAGAGCAGAGGACTTTAAGAAGTTCTGAAACGCTGTGGTCCAAAGGTCGCTGGTTCAACTCCAGCTCAAAGCACCAGATTTCATTGGTATATGCACTGTTCAACCTTTTTCATTGACCATGTGGGTCCAATTGTATTGTTGGCAAAGTGTGTCGCCAAAGCCACTATGTTTTCTGCGTTTGTATCTATAAGCACCTTCATAGCTCAGTTGGTAGAGCACATGACTTTAAGAAGTTCCTGAAACGCTGTGGTCCAAAGGTCGCTGGTTCAACTCCTGCTCCAAACACCAGATTTCATTGGTCTATGCACTGTTCAACCTTTTTCATTGACCATGTGGGTCCAATTATATTGTTGGCAAAGTGTGTCGCCGAAGCCACTATGTTTTCTGCGTTTGTATCTATAAGCACCTTCATAGCTCAGTTGGTAGAGCACATGACTTTAAGAAGTTCCTGAAACGCTGTGGTCCAAAGGTCGCTGGTTCAACTCCTGCTCCAAACACTAGATTTCATTGGTGTATGCACTGTTCAACCTTTTTTATCGACCATGCGGGTCCAATTGTATTGTTGGCAAAGTGTGTCGCCGAAGCCACTATGTTTTCTGCAGTTGTGTCTATGAGCAGCTTCATAGCTCAGTTGGTAGAGCAGAGGACTGTAAGAAGTTTCTGAAACGCTGTCGTCCAAAGGTCGCTGGTTCAACTCCAGCTCAAAGCACCAGATTTCATTGGTATATGCACTGTTCAACCTTTTTCATTGACCATGTGGGTCCAATTGTATTGTTGGCAAAGTGTGTCGCCAAAGCCACTATGTTTTCTGCGTTTGTATCTATAAGCACCTTCATAGCTCAGTTGGTAGAGCACATGACTTTAAGAAGTTCCTGAAACGCTGTGGTCCAAAGGTCGCTGGTTCAACTCCTGCTCCAAACACCATATTTCATTGGTCTATGCACTGTTCAACCTTTTTCATTGACCATGTGGGTCCAATTATATTGTTGGCAAAGTGTGTCGCCGAAGCCACTATGTTTTCTGCGTTTGTATCTATAAGTACCTTCATAGCTCAGTTGGTAGAGCACATGACTTTAAGAAGTTCCTGAAACGCTGTGGTCCAAAGGTGGCTGGTTCAAGTCCAGCTCCAAACACCAGATTTCATTGGTCTATGCACTGTTCAACCTTTTTCAATGACCATGTGGGTCCAATTGTATTGTTGGCAAAGTGTGTCGCCGAAGCCCCTATGTTTTCTGCGTTTGTATCTATAAGCACCTTCATAGCTCAGTTGGTAGAGCACATGACTTTAAGAAGTTCCTGAAACGCTGTGGTCCAAAGGTCGCTGGTTCAACTCCTGCTCCAAACACCAGATTTCATTGGTATATGCACTGTTCAACCTTTTTCATCGACCATGTGGGTCCAATTGTATTGTTGGCAAAGTGTGTCGCCGAAGCCACTAATTTTCTGCGTTTGTATCTATAAGCACCTTCATAGCTCACTTGGTAGAGCACATGACTTTAAGAAGTTCCTGAAACGCTGTGGTCCAAAGGTCGCTGATTCAACTCCTGCTCCAAACACTAGATTTCATTGTTCTATGCACTGTTCAACCTTTTTCATTGACCATGTGCGTCCTATTGTATTGTTGGCAAAGTGTGTCGCCGAAGCCACTATGTTTTCTGCATTTGTATATATAAGCACCTGCATAGCTCATTTGTTAGAGCACATGACTTTAAGAAGTTCAAGAAACGCTTTGGTCCAAAGGTCGCTGGTTCAACTTCTGCTCCAAACACTAGATTTCATTGGTCTATACACTGTTCAACCTTTTTCATTGACCATGTGCGTCCTATTGTATTGTTGGCAAAGTGTGTCGCCGAAGCCACTATGTTTTCTGCAGTTGTGTCTATGAGCAGCTTCATAGCTCAGGTCGTAGAGCAGAGGACTGTAAGAAGTTCCTGAAACGCTGTGGTCCAAAGGTCGCTGGTTCAACTCCTGCTCCAAACACTAGATTTCATTGGTGTATGCACTGTTCAACCTTTTTCATCGACCATGTGGGTCCAATTGTATTGTTGGCAAAGTGTGTCGCCGAAGCCACTATGTTTTCTGCGTTTGTATCTATAAGCACCTTCATAGCTCAGTTGGTAGAGCACATGACTTTAAGAAGTTCCTGAAACACTGTGGTCCAAAGGTCGCTGGTTCAACTCCTGCTCCAAACACAAGATTTCATTGGTCTATGGACTGTTCAACCTTTTTCATTGACCATGTGGGTCCAATTATATTGTTGGCAAAGTGTGTCGCCGAAGCCACTATGTTTTCTGCGTTTGTATCTATAAGCACCTTCATAGCTCAGTTGGTAGAGCACATGACTTTAAGAAGTTCCTGAAACGCTGTGGTCCAAAGGTGGCTGGTTCAACTCCTACTCCAAACACTAGATTTCATTGGTGTATGCACTGTTCAACCTTTTTCATCGACCATGCGGGTCCAATTGTATTGTTGGCAAAGTGTGTCGCCGAAGCCACTATGTTTTCTGCAGTTGTGTCTATGAGCAGATTCATAGCTCAGTTGGTAGAGCAGAGGACTGTAAGAAGTTTCTGAAACGCTGTGGTCCAAAGGTCGCTGGTTCAACTCCAGCTCAAAGCACCAGATTTCATTGGTATATGCACTGTTCAACCTTTTTCATTGACCATGTGGGTCCAATTGTATTGTTGGCAAAGTGTGTCGCCAAAGCCACTATGTTTTCTGCGTTTGTATCTATAAGCACCTTCATAGCTCAGTTGGTAGAGCACATGACTTTAAGAAGTTCCTGAAACGCTGTGGTCCAAAGGTGGCTGGTTCAACTCCTGCTCCAAACTCCATATTTCATTGGTCTATGCACTGTTCAACCTTTTTCATTGACCATGTGGGTCCAATTATATTGTTGGCAAAGTGTGTCGCCGAAGCCACTATGTTTTCTGCTTTTGCATCTATAAGCACCTTCATAGCTCAGTTGGTAGAGCACATGACTTTAAGAAGTTCCTGAAACGCTGTGGTCCAAAGGTGGCTGGTTCAACTCCAGCTCCAAACACCAGATTTCATTGGTCTATGCACTGTTCAACCTTTTTCATTGACCATGTGGGTCCAATTGTATTGTTGGAAAAGTGTGTCGCCGAAGCCACTATGTTTTCTGCGTTTGTATCTATAAGCACCTTCATAGCTCAGTTGGTATAGCACATGACTTTAAGAAGTTCCTGAAACGCTGTGGTCCAAAGGTGGCTGGTTCAACTCCAGCTCCAAGCACCAGATTTCATTGGTCTATGCACTGTTCAACCTTTTTCATTGACCATGTGGGTCCAATTGTATTGTTGGCAAAGTGTGTCGCCGAAGCCACTATGTTTTCTGCGTTTGTATCTATAAGCACCTTCATAGCTCAGTTGGTAGAGCACATGACTTTAAGAAGTTCCTGAAACACTGTGGTCCAAAGGTCGCTTGTTCAACTCCTGCTCCAAACACCCGATTTCATTGGTATATGCACTGTTCAACCTTTTTCATTGACCATGTGGGTCCAATTGTATTGTTGGCAAAGTGTGTCGCCGGAGCCACTATTTTTCTGCGTTTGTATCTATAAGCACCTTCATAGCTCAGTTGGTAGAGCACATGACTTTAAGAAGTTCCTGAAACGCTGTGGTCCAAAGGTGCCTGGTTCAACTCCAGCTCCAAACACCAGATTTCATTGGTCTATGCACTGTTCAACCTTTTTCATTGACCATGTGGGTCCAATTATATAGTTGGCAAAGTGTGTCGCCGAAGCCTATGTTTTCTGCGTTTGTATCTATAAGCACCTTCATAGCTCAGTTGGTAGAGCAGAGCACTGTAAGAAGTTCCTGAAACGCTGTGCTCCAAAGGTGGCTTGTTCAACTCCTGCGCCAAACACCAAATTTCATTGGTCTAGACACTGTTCAACCTTTTTCATTGACCATGTGGGTCCAATTGTTATTTTCGCAAAGTGTGTCGCCGAAGCCACTATGTTTTCTGCGTTTGTATATATAAGCACCTGCATAGCTCAGTTGGTAGAGCACATGACTTTAAGAAGTTCCTGAAACGCTGTGGTCCAAAGGTCGCTGGTTCAACTCCTGCTCGAAACACTAGATTTCATTGGTGTATGCACTGTTCAACCTTTTTCATCGACCATGTGGGTCCAATTGTATTGTTGGCAAAGTGTGTCGCCGAAGCCACTATGTTTTCTGCGGTTGTGTCTATGAGCAGCTTCATAGCTCATTTGGTAGAGCAGAGGACTGTAAGAAGTTCCTGAAACCCTGTGGTCCAAAGGTCGCTGGTTCAACTCCAGCTCCAAGCACCAGATTTCATTGGTATATGCACTGTTCAACCTTTTTCATTGACCATGTGGGTCCAATTGTTTTGTTGGCAAAGTGTGTCGCCGAAGCCACTATGTTTTCTGCGGTTGTGTCTATGAGCAGCTTCATAGCTCATTTGGTAGAGCAGACGACTGTAAGAAGTTCCTGAAACGCTGTGGTCCAAAGGTCGCTGGTTCAACTCCAGCTCCAAGCACCAGATTTCATTGGTATATGCACTGTTCAACCTTTTTCATTGACCATGTGGGTCCAATTGTTTTTTTCGCAAAGTGTGTCGCCGAAGCCACTATGTTTTCTGCGTTAGTATCTAAAAGCACCTTCATAGTTCAGTTGGTAGAGCAGAGGACTGTAAGAAGTTCCTGAAACACTGTGGTCCAAAGGTGGCTGGTTCAACTCCTGCTCCAAACACCAAATGTCATTGGTCTATACACTGTTCAACCTTTTTCATTGACCATGTGCGTCCTATTGTATTGTTGGCAAAGTGTGTCGCCGAAGCCACTAAGTTTTCTGCGGCTGTGTCTATAAGCACCTTCATAGCTCAGTTGGTAGAGCAGAGGACTGTAAGAAGTTCCTGAAACGCTGTGGTCCAAAGGTCGCTGGTTCAACTCCTGCTCCAAACACCAGATTTCATTGTTTTATGCACTGTTCAACCTTTTTCATTGAACATGTGCGTCCAATTGTATCGTTGGCAAAGTGTGTCACCGAAGCCACTATGTTTTCTGCATTTGTATATATATGCACCTGCATAGCTCAGTTGGTAGAGCACATGACTTTAAGAAGTTCAAGAAACGCTGTGGTCCAAAGGTCGCTGGTTCAACTCCTGCTCCAAACACTAGATTTCATTGGTGTATGCACTGTTCAACCTTTTTCATTGACTATGTGCGTCCTATTGTATTGTTGGCAAAGTGTGTCGCCGAAGCCACTATGTTTTCTGCGTTTGTATATATAAGCACCTGCATAGCTCAGTTGGTAGAGCACATGACTTTAAGAAGTTAAAGAAACATTGTGGTCTAAAGGTCGCAGGTTCAACTCCTGCTCCAAACACCAGATTTCATTGGTGTATGCACTGTTCAACCTTTTTCATTGACCATGTGGGTCCAATTGTATTGTTGGCAAAGTGTGTCGCCGAAGCCACTATGTTTTCTGCTTTTGTATATATAAGCACCTGCATAGCTCAGTTGGTAGAGCACATGAATTTATGAAGTTCAAGAAACGCTGTGGTCCAAAGGTCGCTGGTTCAACTCCTGCTCCAAACACCAGATTTCATTGGTGTATGCACTGTTCAACCTTTTTCATTGACCGTATGGGTCCAATTGTATTGTTGGCAAAGTGTGTCTGTGAAGCCACTATGTTTTCTGCGGTTGTGTCAACAAGCAGCTTCATAGCTCAGTTGGTAGAGCATAGGACTGTAACAAGTTCCTGAAACGCTGTGGTCCAAAGGTCGCTGGTTCAACTCCTACTCCAAACACCAGATTTCATTGGTTTATGCACTGTTCAACCTTTTTCATTGACCATGTGGGTCCAATTGTATTGTTGGCAAAGTGTGTCGCCGAAGCCACTATGTTTTCTGCGTTTGTATCTATAAGCACCTTCATAGCTCAGTTGGTAGAGCAGAGTACTGTAAGAAGTTCCTGAAACGCTGTAGTCCAAAGGTCGCTGGTTCAACTCCTGCTCCAAACACTAGATTTCATTGGTCTATGCACTGTTCAAGCTTTTTCATTGACCATGTGCGTCCTATTGTATTGTTGGCAAAGTGTGTCACCGAAGCCACTATGTTTTCTGCATTTGTATATATAAGCACCTGCATAGCTCAGTTGGTAGAGCACATGACTTTAAGAAGTTCAAGAAAAGCTGTGGTCCAAAGGTCGCTGGTTCAACTCCTGCTCCAAACACTAGATTTCATTGGTGTATGCACTGTTCAACCTTTTTCATCGACCATGTGGGTCCAATTGTATTGTTGGCAAAGTGTGTCGCCGAAGCCACTATGTTTTCTGCGGTTGTGTCTATGAGCAGCTTCATAGCTCAGTTGGTAGAGCAGAGGACTGTAAGAAGTTCCTGAAACGCTGTGGTCCAAAGGTCGCTGTTTCAACTCCAGCTCCAAGCACCAGATTTCATTGGTATATGCACTGTTCAACCTTTTTCATTGACCATGTGGGTCCAATTGTTATTTTCGCAAAGTGTGTCGCCGAAGCCACTATGTTTTCTGCGTTTGTATATATAAGCACCTGCATAGCTCAGTTGGTAGAGCACATGACTTTAAGAAGTTCAAGAAACGCTGTGGTCCAAAGGTCGCTGGTTCAACTCCTGCTCCAAACACCAGATTTCATTGGTCTATGCACTGTTCAACCTTTTTCATTGACCATGTGGGTCCAATTATATTGTTGGCAAAGTGTGTCGCCGAAGCCTATGTTTTCTGCGTTTGTATCTATAAGCACCTTCATAGCTCAGTTGGTAGAGCAGAGGACTGTAAGAAGTTCCTGAAACGCTGTGGTCCAAAGGTGGCTTGTTCAACTCCTGCTCCAAACACCAAATTTCATTGGTCTAGACACTGTTCAACCTTTTTCATTGACCATGTGGGTCCAATTGTTATTTTCGCAAAGTGTGTCGCCGAAGCCACTATGTTTTCTGCGTTTGTATATATAAGCACCTGCATAGCTCAGTTGGTAGAGCACATGACTTTAAGAAGTTCAAGAAACGCTGTGGTCCAAAGGTCGCTGGTTCAACTCCTGCTCCAAACACCAGATTTCATTGGTGTATGCACTGTTCAACCTTTTTCATCGACCATGTGGGTCCAATTGTATTGTTGGCAAAGTGTGTCGCCGAAGCCACTATGTTTTCTGCGGTTGTGTCTATGAGCAGCTTCATAGCTCAGTTGGTAGAGCAGAGGACTGTAAGAAGTTCCTGAAACGCTGTGGTCCAAAGGTCGCTGGTTCAACTCCAGCTCCAAGCACCAGATTTCATTGGTATATGCACTGTTCAACCTTTTTCATTGACCATGTGGGTCCAATTGTATTGTTGACAAAGTGTGTCACCGAAGCCACTATGTTTTCTGCGTTTGCATATATAAGCACCTTCATAGCTCAGTTGGTAGAGCAGAGGACTGTAAGAAGTTCCTGAAACGCTGTGGTCCAAAGGTCGCTGGTTCAACTCCTGCTCCAAACACTAGATTTCATTGGTGTATGCACTGTTCAACCTTTTTCATTGACCATGTGGGTCCAATTGTTATTTTCGCAAAGTGTGTCGCCGAAGCCACTATGTTCTCTGCGTTAGTATCTATAAGCACCTTCATAGCTCAGTTGGTAGAGCAGAGGACTGTAAGAAGTTCCTGAAACACTGTGGTCCAAAGGTGGCTGGTTCAACTCCTGCTCCAAACACCAAATTTCATTGGTCTATACACTGTTCAACCTTTTTCATTGACCATGTGCGTCCTATTGTATTGTTGGCAAAGTGTGTCGCCGAAGCCACTATGTTTTCTGCGGCTGTGTCTATAAGCAGCTTCATAGCTCAGTTGGTAGAGCAGAGGACTGTAAGAAGTTCCTGAAACGCTGTGGTCCAAAGGTCGCTGGTTCAACTCCTGCTCCAAACACCAGATTTCATTGGTTTATGCACTGTTCAACCTTTTTCATTGACCATGTGGGTCCAATTGTATCGTTGGCAAAGTGTGTCGCCGAAGCCACTATGTTTTCTGCATTTGTATATATATGCACCTGCATAGCTCAGTTGGTAGAGCACATGACTTTAAGAAGTTCAAGAAACGCTGTGGTCCAAAGGTCGCTGGTTCAACTCCTGCTCCAAACACTAGATTTCATTGGTGTATGCACTGTTCAACCTTTTTCATTGACTATGTGCGTCCTATTGTATTGTTGGCAAAGTGTGTCGCCGAAGCCACTATGTTTTCTGCGTTTGTATATATAAGCACCTGCATAGCTCAGTTGGTAGAGCACATGACTTTAAGAAGTTCAAGAAACATTGTGGTCTAAATGTCGCTGGTTCAACTCCTGCTCCAAACACCAGATTTCATTCGTATATGCACTGTTCAAGCTTTTTCATTGACCATGTGGGTCCAATTGTATTGTTGGCAAAGTGTGGCAAAGTGTGTCGCCGAAGCCACTATGTTTTCTGCTTTTGTAGAAGTTCAAGAAACGCTGTGGTCCAAAGGTCGCTGGTTCAACTCCTGCTCCAAACACTAGATTTCATTGGTGTATGCACTGTTCAACCTTTTTCATTGACCATGTGGGTCCAATTGTTATTTTCGCAAAGTGTGTCGCCGAAGCCACTATGTTTTCTGCGTTTGTATCTATAAGCACCTTCATAGCTCAGTTGGTAGAGCAGAGCACTGTAAGAACTTCCTGAAACGCTGTGGTCCAAAGGTCGCTGTTTCAACTCCTGCTCCAAACACCAAATTTCATTGGTCTATGCACTGTTCAAACTTTTTCATTGACCATGTGGGTCCAATTGTATTGTTGGCAAAGTGTGTCGCCGAAGCCACTATGTTTTCTGCGTTTGTATATATAAGCACCTTCATAGCTCAGTTGGTAGAGCAGAGGACTGTAAGAAGTTCCTGAAACGCTGTGGTCCAAAGGTCGCTGGATCAACTCCACCTCCAAGCACCAGATTTCATTGGTCTATGCACTGTTCAACCTTTTTCATTGACCATGTGGGTCCAATTGTATTGTTGGCAAAGTGTGTCGCCGAAGCCACTATGTTTTCTGCGTTTGTATCTATAAGCACCTTCATAGCTCAGTTGGTAGAGCAGAGTACTGTAAGAAGTTCCTGAAACGCTGTGGTCCAAAGGTCGCTGGTTCAACTCCTGCTCCAAACACTAGATTTCATTGGTCTATGCACTGTTCAACCTTTTTCATTGACCATGTGCGTCCTATTGTATTGTTGGCAAAGTGTGTCACCGAAGCCACTATGTTTTCTGCATTTGTATATATAAGCACCTGCATAGCTCAGTTGGTAGAGCACATGACTTTAAGAAGTTCCTGAAACGCTGTGGTCCAAAGCTCGCTGGTTCAACTCCTGCTCCAAACACTAGATTTCATTGGTGTATGCACTGTTCAACCTTTTTCATCGACCATGTGGGTCTAATTGTATTGTTAGCAAAGTGTGTCGCCGAAGCCACTATGTTTTCTGCGGTTGTGTCTATAAGCACCTTCATAGCTCAGTTGGTAGAGCAGAGTGCTGTAAGAAGTTCCTGAAACGCTGTGTTCCAAAGGTCGCTGGTTCAACTCCACCTCCAAACACCAGATCGCATTGGTGTATGCACTGTTCAACCTTTTTCATTGATCATGTAGGTCCAATAGTTGTGTCGGCAAAGTGTGTCGCCGAAGCCACTATGTTTTCTGCGTTTGTGTCTATAAGCACCTTCATAGCTCAGTTGGTAGAGCAGAGGACTGTAAGAAGTTCCTGAAACTTCTTCGTCCAAAGGTCGCTGGTTCAACTCCAGCTCCAAAGACCAGATTTCATTGGTGTATGCACTGTTCAACCTTTTTCATTGACCAGGTGGCTTGATTGTTGTGTTGGCAAAGTGTGTCGCCGAAGCCACTATGTTTCTGCGGTTGTGTCTATAAGCACCTTCATAGCTCAGTTGGTAGAGCACATGACTGTAAGAAGTTCCTGAAATGCTGTGGGCCAAAGGTCGCTGGTCCAACTCCAGCTCCAAACACCAGATTTCATTGGTCTATCCACTGTTCAACCTTTTTCATTGACCAGGTTGCTTGATTGTTATGTTGGCAAAGTGTGTCGCCGAAGCCACTATGTTTTCTGCGTTTGTATCTATAAGCACCTTCATAGCTCAGTTGGTAGAGCAGAGTACTGTAAGAAGTTCCTGAAACGCTGTGGTCCAAAGGTGGCTGTTTCAGCTCCAGCTCCAAGCACCAGATTTCATTGTTATGTGCACTGTTCAACCTTTTTCATTGACCAGGTGGCTTTATTGTTATGTTGGCAAAGTGTGTCGCCGAAGCCACTATGTTTTCTGCATTTGTGTCTATAAGCACCTTCAAAGCTCAGATGGTAGAGCAGAAGACTGTAAGAAGTTCCTT